GCCTCCGATGGATCCCAGCACGGAGGAGATTCCGGGAACCCTTTTTTCCCAGAGCAGCAGTTGCTCACCGAGGCAGCTCCAAATAATTCGGGATGAATAAATCCCTGGATTTCCCACTGGGAAGTCGTGGTGGGAAGGAATCAACCCCATCCCTGGTTTTGGGGAGCGGGGGGAGAGGCGCCTCCGTGTTGTTGGGCGGGACCCAAAGCCCGTCCTGGAAGGGAGGAATTCCATGGGAATTCCGTGGGAAAAGCCGATTCCCTCCGCAGACTCGGGCGGCGCCGTCGGAAGCTCCGACGTCGTGATCCTGCTGCACGGATTCCCCACTTCCAGCTACGACTGGAGCAAGGTGAGGGCAGCCGGGGGCACATCCCAGGGGGGCGAGTCAGCCCCGCTCCAGAGGAGAATTCCCGATTCCTTCCGGAGGCCCCACTCCGGGATACCCGCCCTGTTCTTCCTCTCCCAACAACCCCGCACGGGATCCAAGCTCTCCTCACATCCCCACGCTCCATCCCAAAGCTGGGAAAGACCCACGGCTATTTACTGGAGAGGGTTTGGTTTTTTTTGGGATGGTCCAGCTGTTTATTGGGAAATTCGGAGCTCCCGCTGTTTTCCCGGAGCTGGAAAATGCTCCCGGGGTGGAGCAATCCCCGGCTGCTCCTTCTGGATGCTTTTTTAATGGATTTCTCCCTCTTCCCAGATCTGGGAAGGGCTGACCCAGCGCTTCCACCGGGTGATCGCCCTGGATTTCCTGGGATTTGGCTTCAGCGACAAGCCCGTGAGTAGCCCCGGGAGGAGGGTTTTCCTGGATGCTTTCCAGCTCCAGATCCAGGCATTTTGGAGCTCAGTTTTCCCTCCCATTTACACTCGGAAAAGGGATAAGACGTGGGATAACAGGGATCAGTGGGAGGGACGAGGGAGGTTTGTGGTGGGGCCTCCCTTGGGTTTGATGATCCCAAAGGATTCCTGGATCCCTTTGGGGCAGGGACAGTGTGGACACCACCGGTGATCCAGGACATTCTGTTGCTCAATCCAGGATCACAAACTCCTGCTTTCCATCCCATTTGGGGGTTTCTCCTCGGATTTGTGGGGTTTGATGTGATCCTAAAGCATTCCTTGGTCCCTTTGGAGCACGGACATTGTGGACACCACCAGTGATCCAGGACATCCAGATGATCCAGGATCACAAACTGCTGGTCTCCTGTTGATATTCCTCCATTTGGGGCTTTCTCCTGGAATTTGTGGGGTTTGATGATCCCAAAGCATTCCTTGATCCCTTTGGAGCACGAACAATGTGGACACCACTGGTGATCCAGGACATCCCATTGCTCAATCCAGGGTCACAAACTCCTGTTTTCCATCCCATTTGGGGGTTTCTCCCGGGATTTGTGGGCTCAGGCTCTCACTGGGGCCCCTCTCCTGCTTTTCCAGAGGCCCCACCGCTATTCCATCTTCGAGCAGGCCGACGTCGTGGAAGGGCTCGCGCGGCACCTCGGCCTCCAGCGCCACCGGATCAACCTCCTGGCCCACGACTACGGGGACACGGTGGCCCAGGAGCTGCTCCACAGGTCATTCCAACCCCTGGCACCCCATGGACACCATTCCAACCCTTGACGCACCACGGAGACCATTCCAATCCCTGGCACCCCTTCTTGTCCCCGTGGACACCGTTCCAACCCTTGACACGCCACGGAGACCGTTCCAACCCCTGGCACTCCTTTTTGTCCCCATGGAGACAATTCCAACCCCTGGCACTCCTTGTTATCCTCATGGAGATCATTCCAACCCCTGGCACCCCACGGACACCATTCCAACCCCTGACACTCCTTGTTGTCCCCACAGAGACAATTCCAACCCCTGACACTCCTTGTTGTCCCCACAGAGACAATTCCAACCCCTGACACTCCTTGTTGTCCCCACAGAGACAATTCCAACCCCTGACACTCCTTGTTGTCCCCACAGAGACAATTCCAACCCCTGACACTCCTTGTTGTCCCCACAGAGACAATTCCAACCCCTGGCACTCCTTGTTGTCCCCATGGAGGTGATTCCAACCCCTGACACTCCTTGTTGTCCCCACAGAGACAATTCCAACCCCTGACACTCCTTGTTATCCCCACAGAGACAATTCCAACCCCTGGCAGTCCTTGTTGTCCCCATGGAGGTGATTCCAATCCCTGGCACTCCTTGTTGTCCCCATGGAGACAATTCCAACCCCTGGCACCCCTTGTTGTCCCCATGGAGACAATTCCAACCCCTGACACTCCTTTTTTTCCCCGTGGAGACAATTCCAACCCCTGGCACTCCTTGTTGTCCCCACGGACACCATTCCAACCCGTGGCATTCCTTGTTGTCCCCATGGAGACAATTCCAACCCCTGGCACTCCTTGTTGTCCCCGTGGACACCATTCCAACCCTTCCAACCCCTGGCACCCCTTGTTGTCCCCGTGGACACCATTCCAACCCCTGTCACCTCTTGTTGTCCCCATGGAGATGATTCCCAGCAATCAGTGGGATCCCCCTTTTCCTCGTCCCTCCCAAGGCCGAGAGCTCTCAAGGGCGTGTCATTCCCGAGGGTCCCACCCATCCAAATCCCAGCAGGGATCCAGGGATGACCTGGCAGTGTCCTTGTGACCTCCTGGGCGGTCATTCCTTGGATCCTGGAGAGGTCTGGACGTGTTCCACCTTCCCCTCTGGTGTCCCCAGGTACGAGCACAATAAAACCGGGAGCATCCTGATCAACAGCCTCTGCTTATCCAACGGAGGTGAGGATCGCCTGGAGAGGCGGGATGGGGATCCATGGGATTGGGATCCGTGGGATAGGGTGGCCTTCCCATCTCCCTCACCTGAATCCCAAGGGAAGCACAATTAAGGTGCCGTGATTAGGAGGCCAATCCTGGCTCCCTGTCCCACATTCCATGGCCCCACGAGGACGGGGAGGGACCGGGAAATGGGAAGCAAAGCACCTGTGGATTTACAGCTCTGTTTTCCCGCCTCCTTCCAGGGATTTTTCAGGAAACATACCACCCCAGGTTCATCCAGAAGGTGAGCTGCTCCCCTCTCTGTCCAGCCTGACTCCCAGTATCCCAAATAAACACCAGTGTCCCACCAGGAGACCTTGTGGGTGTCTCCGGGGTCAGGGATTGTGGGAAAAGCTCTCCATGGAGACAGGATTGATCCGTGTGTCCCATCTCCTGTTCTCCTTGCTCCCCAGCTCCTCCAGGACGGGGGGTTGCTGTCCCCCCTCCTCCTGCGCCTGATGAACTTCTTCTTCTTCTCCAGAGGGTGAGCTGGGAACAGTCCACAGGGATGGGAGCCGAGCAGGGAAGCGGGAATTCGAAGGGATTCCTGGCTGGGAGGGTGGGGAGGGGCTGGGATGGATTTCCCAGAGAAGCTGTGGCTGCCCCTGGATCCCTGGAAGTGTCCAAGGCCGGGTTGGAGCAACCTGGGATAGTGGGAGGTGTCCCTGCCCGTGGAACTGGATGATCCTTAAGGTCTTTTCCAAGCCAAACCATTCCACGATTCCATGAATTAGCAGGTGTTGGGGCAGGTGAGGGCATTCCCTGGCACCATCCCAGGAGAGATTTTCCTCTGGATTTCAACCTTGACCTTCCAGGCCATTCCCTCTCCAGGCTGGGCTAATAATAAACCACCACATGGCTTTTTCCCTGCTTTCCTTCTCTCCCACAAGAACTGGAATTCCACATTCCAGAGGCAATGAAACCCCACCCAAGCCCTGCCTTTAGGGATTTTTCCCCAAAAAAGCCCTCTCCAAACTCCCTTTTTTTCCCAGGCTTGGAGCAGTTTTTGGGCCCCACACACAGCCCTCCCAGGCGGAATTCTGGGATATGTGGACGGCGGTGCGGAATAACGACGGGAATCTTGTCATGGACAGGTAGGTCACCGTGAATTCCTGCAGGGGATTAGTTGGGACACCTGCTCCGAGATTCCCAGAGCTCATCCAGAGGCTCTCCAGAGCCTCCAGCTGCTTCTGTTGGAGCCTGGGATCATCTTCATCCCAAAAAAAAAGAGCTGGAAGGTGATGTGGGACCAAGATTTCCCACTGGGATGATGCAGGGCAGGGAAATAAAGTTTGGAATTGGATCTGAGTTTGAAATGATCCAATGTGAGAATTTTTTCATCTTTGGAAGTCAAGGGCTTGGATTTGGGGGGGGGTGTTCAAGGACTGGAGATAAATCTGTGGCAGGTGAATGGATCCCTTGGAATTGTCCCAGGAGAGCTTTGCCTCTGGATTTGAATGACCTTGATCTTCTGGGCCATTCCCAGAAGTCCCAGTGCCAAATCTCCAGTTTGGGAGTTTGGGAAGGACCCGTTTGCTCCAGTTTGGGGAGTTTGGGAAGGTCCTGTTTGCTCCAGTTTGGGGAGTTTGGGAAGGTCCTGTTTGCTCCAGTTTGGGGAGTTTGGGAAGGTCCTGTTTGCTCCAGTTTGGGGAGTTTGGGAAGGTCCTGTTTGCTCCAGTTTGGGAGTTTGGGAAGCACCAGTTTGGGAGGGACCTGTTTGTTCCAGTTTTGGAAGGTCCTCTTTTCTCCAGTTTGGGAGTTTTGGAAGCACTGTTTGCTCCAGTTTGGGAGTTTGGGAAGGACCTGTTTGTTTGGGATTTTGGGAAGGTCCTGTTTGTTCCAGTTTGGGAAGCACTGTTAACTCCAGTTTTGGAAGGTCCTGTTTGCTCCAGTTTGGGCTTTCAGGAGGATCTCTTGGCTGTGGGTCCAGCATCCCTGTTCAGTGTGTCCTTCTCTCCTTTCCTCCCCCTGGAAGAACCGAGTCACTGAACTCCGGGATGCTGTTGTGGTGCTGCTGTCCCAGGGAGATCCATGGGAGATGCAGATCCCCCCTCACCATCCGTGGCCCCGGGAGCAAATCCCAGGCTGTGCCACCCCTGGAATGTCTGTAACCAGGGATTTCTCCTCAGTGTTTTGCAGTACATCAACGAGAGGAAGCAGCACAGTGGCCGCTGGGTCGGGGCTCTGGTGTCCACCTCTGTCCCACGTGAGTAGGAATCCCTGGAATCTCTTCCTTTCCTGCTTGGGATCGGTGGGAACTGTCCCCTCCCGCTCCTCGCCGGAGCTTCCCGTCATCCTGGTGATGATGATGGAGCTCCAATCCAGGGGGAACATCCCAAACTTCCAGCTCAAGGCTCAGCCACGCCTTGGCAAGGGAAGCTTGTCCCGCTGAGCAGAGCGACATTCCCTGAGAGGCTCATTCCAGGTGCTGCTCCAGGGAAGTTCCAACCAGGACACCGGAGGCTGTTGGAGCCCCTGGATTGCTCAGGGCTCCACTGGAAGCTTCCCAAGCTCCACGTGAGGGGGGAATTTGGCCCTTGGCTAAATTTAGGGATGTCCTTGGGCATAAATTCCTCGTTCTTCTCTCTCCCAGTGCATCTCATCTACGGCCCCCTGGACCCTGTGAATCCACACCCGGAGTTTCTCCAGCTTTACAGGCAAGATCCCACCCACCACCCAGTGGGAATGTGCCCCCCTGGGGCCTCATTCCAAGGGATATTTTGGCTGCCTTTCCCTCCAATCCCGTTCTCACAGAGGCTGTTCTTAATTCCCACCTGGAACCAAGTGACTCCAAGTCGGAGCCTTGTGCAGTTTGGGAACTGTTTCCCTATTTTAGGCACCAAAAAACCCCCAAAAATCACAATTTTCAGTCAAACCAGTGCCAAATTTTAAAACCACAGAGGGAAGATTTAATCCCTGAGGGAATTTTCTCCTCCAAACTAACCTGGGGGAAATCCAGCACTCGGAAGACTGGCCAACTGGGGCTTTTTTTGATCCCAAATCCACGTTCTGGGTGGAATCCCAGCCCTGCCCTCCTCACTGGTGGCACTGGGCTGAGCCTGCTGCTGGTCCTGTGCTTAAGCTTAACTAACCTTGCTCCACTCTTCCCACAGGAAGCTGCTTCCCATGTCCACAGTGTCCGTGCTGGATGACCACATCAGCCACTATCCCCAGCTGGAGGATCCCACGGGATTCCTGAACTCGTACCTCAACTTCATCAACTCCTTCTGAGCTGCTGCCGCTCCAGTTCTCGCCCTCTGCTTCCCAGTCAGGCTTTGGGGGGCAGGAAAAAACCTTGGCTTTACCTCCCAGAGCCAACACTTTGAACTCAGGGCTGCACTCGGGCAGTTAAACCCTTTGGAACACCGGGAAAACATCAGGCAGGTGTGGGAAAAGCAAAGAGTTCCGGGATGCCAACAGCTCTCCCACCCTCTGGACCGGCCTAACCCTGGATTTAGAGGTGAACTCAGCATTAAATCAGTGTTTCTTCCTTCCTCCCTCACCCTGGCTTGGTAAAGAAACACCAGCTCAGCAGCAGAGAGGTCCCTCCATCCCCTCCCCTTCCCAGTTTTTGCTATGGGATGTTTCCCATTCCAGCCCAGTACAGGCTGCACCGGTGTTGGGAATTACCTGACATAAACCTGCCTCAGGAGATGAAGTTCCATCTCTTTTGCACATGGATTTTCCCACCAGGAAGAACCACGAAGGCACCGTCAACCTGCAGGTTTTCCCTGTGGGTTTTTTTACCAGCCTATGTTGGGAATTTAATCTGGGAATAAGGGGCTTTTTTTGTTGAACAAAACGGGCTGGGTTTGTTTTTTTTTTTTTTTTTTTTTTTCCTGGGCTGAAAACCAGGCAGAACCAGAACAAGAAATCTCTATTTTATTAACAGCGATTCGTAGGAACCCCGCCGCTCGAACCAGGGGTTATTTTCTGGTAATAAAAACTGATTTTGGACAAAAAAAAGGCAAAAAAAAAAAAAAAAGCCTGACTCCCATTTCCTCACCCACCTGCACACGCCCCCCTTTTCCCTTCCCATAAATTAAGTGGGAATGTGTGACACGGAGGGAAGGGGACGTGGGAACGGCCAAGCCACCGAGAATGGGACCTCGTACAAAATATCTTCCCAGATTTTTGAGGAGTAAAACCCACATGCAAAAGGACAGCCAGGCCTCTCCAGGGGCCAGGGCCCGGCTCGGCCTCAGCCCACGGCCGCCAGGATGACGTCGACGGCCGCCTCGTCCTTGCTCCTCACCGTCACCTGCATGGTCACCCCGTCCCCCAGCGCCAGCCTGGCCCTCACCAGCACGTCACAGCCACCCCTGTACACACCTGGGGGCAAAGACAGGCAGGGCTGGGCTTAGGAGAGGCTCTGAGCCAGGCCTAAGCCAGCAGCCGACAGCGAGGCAGAGGAGTCGCTGCCCCGATGGGTCGCTCCGACCCCGCGGAGCTCCAGGGTGGGGGGAGAGGGGCTGGGAAGCTGGGAAAGGCCCTGGGGGGGCTGGTGACAGTGGCCCGGGTGTGCCCAGCGGGGCAGGAGGCCACTGGCACCTGGATTGTGTTGGGAATAGTGTGGCGCAAGGTAGGGAGGGATTGTGCTCAGTTGCTGGGACCTGGATCCTCGGTCAGGGAAGGCACGGGGGGGTGGAGCGTGTGAGGGGAGGGAAGGAGCCTTGGGAAGGGGGCTGGAGAACTACCTGAGGGAGTGGGGGGGACTCACCTGAGCAAGGAGGCTCAGGGGGACTTCTGGGCTGCAAGTCCTGCCGGGCTCTGCTGCCAGGGAACAAGGGACAGGAGGAGAGGGAACGGCCTCAGGCTGGGCCAGGGGAGGGTCAGGTTGGACACCAGGAGGAATTTCCTCATGGAAGGGGTGGTCAGGCCTTGGAACAGGGTGGAGTCCCCACCCCTGGAGGGATTTCAAAGCCCTGTGGATGTGGCACTTGGGGACATGGTCAGTGGTGGCCTTGGCACTGCTGGGGCTGGTTGGACTCCATGATCTCAGAGGGCTTTTCCAACCCAAATGATTCCCTGATTCCAGGAGAAGCTGTGGGTGCTGCAGGGCAGTCCAGGAAGTGTCTTTAGTGACAGGACCTTGGGAAGGAGATGATCCTGGAACTGCCCTTCTGAGATAACCCCAGGCAGGGAATTTATTTGGGTGTCTGCTCTGGAAGTTCTCAATCCAGAGGACTCCACGAGCAGAATTCCTCCAATCCCAGACACAGAGCTCAGCCTGAGCACATCCAAGACAGCAGGATCCAACTTACTGCTTCACTGCAGCCTTTCACAGGGAAAAAACCCCCTCTTTTCTACAGAGCAAAAGCTCCCAAAACAAGAGCAGAACCTCCCAAATAATTTCCCTTCCTTCAGCAGAAATCTGTGGGGACGTGGCAACGTGGGATCCAGCAGCAGGGAACACTCACCAGCCAAGTAAAGAGTGTGGGAATTCTTGTTCTCCGGCACTTTATCCGACCTCTCACAGGGCTGCATTCCCAGGAACTTCACGATGTTGTTGACAGCTTCTGCATTCAGGGATGGAAAAAAGGAAATTACCTCCAGGTTAATTCCCTAAAAATATATATCCCAGCCTGGCAGATTTACCACCAACAAATGAGGGGCTGTCTGTCTCACCATCAAGGGTTTTGATGGAACTGAGGGCAAAGGTCTCTTCCTTCTCAAAGTCATCTCCCACTTCTTCCCAGGCCGCTGCAAAGTTGGGCTTTAAAACCTTCTGGATGTGGTCGGACACGGTCACTTCCAAGTCTTCCAGCTGAGGGGGAAAGGGAGGGAGATTTTCAGGGCAGTGGCAGGAAAGGAGCCTGGGAAGGGAAAGATCCAGTGGCATTTTGCCAGAACAGCTCTGCCATGCCTGGCTTGAATTTTTGGGAGAAGCACGTGACAGTGGCTCCTAAAAATGGGGAAAAACTGGGTTTATTCTGGTCATTTGTAAACATGAAAAACATCCACACAGAAGGGACTAAAAGAGAACAGAAAATCAGGTTCACTTTGTGGCTTAAAGCCCTTTGTAGCCCTCACTGGGCATCCACTGGGAGAGATTTCCTCAGGATCCATGGAATCACACTGGGCTGGGTTGGAAGGGAACTGAAGGATCATCCAGTTCCATCCAGGGACACCTCCCACTATCCCAGGTTGCTCCAGCCTGGCCTTGGACACTTCCAGGGATCCAGGGGCAGCCACAGCTTCTCTGGGAATTCTATTCCAGCCCCTCCCCACCCTCCCAGCCAGCAATTCCTTCCCAATATCCCACCTATCCTTGTCCTCTGGCACTGGGAAGCCATTCCCTGTGTCCTGTCCCTCCAGGCCTTGTCCCCAGTCCCTCTCCAGCTCTCCTGGAGCCCCTTTAGGCCCTGCAAGGGGCTCCAAGGTTTTCCTGGATCCTTCTCTTCTCCCAACACTTCCTGACACCACCTGACTTCTATTTCCACGCTAAACAGAAGTGCGAAAGCTTGGGGTGGGAAAGACTGATTGTGAAAACAAACAGTGGAAATCATTCCTTCCTTTTTTTCCCCCTGCCTGCCCCCACCAATCCTGTCTCCACAGGGCAAGGGGAACAGGAAGCAGAGCCTGGACTCACCACGTACTCATCCTCGTAGCCATCCTCCTCTGGCACCCCCGTGTTGGGGTCGCAGTCCCGCACCGTGAACTTCATGGTGCAGCTGAAGGTGCAGGACACTGGGAAGCAGAGAGAGAAATCTGGGATAATCAGTGCCAGAGCCCTCCCTTCCCCCCCAAAAAATCCCCAGAGACTGGAATGAGTATCCATCAGAAATACGCTGATTTTAAGGGGAAGGCCAAAGGGTCGTGGGATAACAAGGACCCTGATTCCCAGTGGGATCCAGGAGGGATTCCACCAGGATTTCGGCCAAGTGGAGCACGATGCAGAGTTCAGGGAATTCTGGTTAGTCCTGATCTTGCCTGCTATTAAAGCAACAACCACTGCACTGACGAGCTGAGTCATGTTAAACCCACTGCAGATCCAGCGGTGAGGGATAAAAGAGAGAAAGGGAAGTCTCGTGGCCAGGAAAATCCCATTCCTACATGTCACAGTTGATTCTAACTCACTAAAGAGAGGAATAATTCCACTGGTCAATTCTGTAGAGTCCTAGACTACTAATATTTTTATGATTTGCATTATTTTTTAGTGTTTGTATTTTCCTTTGACTGGTTCTGATCTTTACCATCCCCAAATGTTCACGTGCTCCTCGCCTTGATTCCGGGTACTCAATTCCAGTTTCCACCACCTGCACCCTCTCAAATCTCCTTTAAATCCCAGTTTTAACCACCCAACACCACTGACTGTTTAAAAACCACCTCAAATCCTTTGCACACACACTTGGGTTCCACCCAAAACCCTGTGAGAATCCCGGGATGCCAAACCCCAAACGCTTGGGTGTCCTCCAAACCCTTCCTTGGAGGGATTTGGTGCACAGATGATCCCTCCCAAGGGGTACCTGCAGTGGGGTCGTCCTGGGGGATCCTGACCAGGGTGTAGCACATCCCAGGCTGGTTGTAGGCCAGGCTGGGAGCTGGGATGCAGCAGAGCACGTCGTAGGCGTCCGACGGCTCCACCTGCACCGTGACCCTCTCCAGGAGCTGGTCGTTGAGCGTGTTGGTGCAGTCGAACTGCGGCAGAGCACAGGACAAAAACATTCCCCGTGGAGGGTTATTCCCTGAAAACGCTCCCCTGGCAGGCAGCAGCCACCCCCCAGCTCCCTCCCATCCCGGGAAGAGCCAGGGAGATCCCTCACCTGGAAGACGATGTGGTTCGGGAAGACGTGTTTGACGCAGCGCACGAAGTACTCGGTCTCTGCTTCCGTGAGCTGGACGGGCTCGGAGCACCAGAACAGAGGACCCAGGCTCTGGAATTCTGGGATGGCTGCCAGTTGTTCTGGGGAGGGAGGAGAAGATGAAGGTTAAGGATGGGATTGCCCGCTGCTCCCACCCGTGGGGATCATCCCAAGGCGTCACAGGATCAAGGAATGGTTTGGGTTGGAGGAGAACTGAAGGCAGGGACACCTTCCACTAGCCCAGGTTGCTCCAGCCTGGCCTTGGACACTTCCAGGGATCCAGGGGCAGCCACAGCTTCTCTGGG